CGGAAGGCCTGGCGCAGTATGGTTCATGGGGTCACGGAGAGTCGGACACAACTTAACGACTAAACAACAACACAAAGTGTGCAAGTGTAAGAATTGATGCTGGTTGGAAGCCAAAAGGTAGTCACACCAAATATTGATTTGATTTGGATTTCTCTTCTGTTCACTCACTTTGCATTTTGTAAATTGATAAACATAAACAATTATAATATATATTTTTGAAAGCATTCTTTACAGAATTTTTTCACACCTGCCTAAAACTTTTGCACATGTTGTAAAGATCAGTGTCCTCTTTTTCAGCAATGCATACATAGCCATCCTGAACAAAACCAAGGAAGCAGCTACGCAGATTTTTCTTCATCCTTACCCACCATGACATAAACTGTTCAGAAGCTAGCCTACTGATAATTGGAAATATAACGTGATACATTATGGAGAAAATCTATGTGGTCACTGAGTTGACACCCACTTGATGGCTATATTCAATCAAAACCAATCAATCTAATACATCTACGGATGCCAAGTTGGGGGTGGATAGCCCAAACAAGCTTACTTTTTGCATGAATAGAATTCCAAGTAGACCAAACAATACAGCAGGCTCTACTTGTAAATAACAATGTCAATCTGCTTCAATGTAAACTTTTAGAAAGACCTCTACTTACATAGCTTCTACATTTAGGTCACAGATAGCTGGATAAGGCTGGGTTGTTGGAAGTTAGGAGGCTCCTTTATGCAAGTGTTTTTCAAACTTGACAAATTTAAGATGTGTGGACTTCAACTCCCAGAATTCCCCAGCAAGCTGGCTGGGGAATTCTGGAAGCTGAAGTCCACACATCTTAAAGTTTTCAAGTTTGAAAAAGGCTGCTTTATGCCTTCTTCTGGTATAATGAATACTCGTGTTTTCTGTTAAATGTAGAGATACTCGCTGTGTTTTCACGTTAGCAGCTACAACGTTTCTTGGCATTTTAAACTCCCTGGCTAGCTTCGAATGATAGGCTCCCTTTTGCTTTACTCGGTCAAGTTTTCTGAGTTTGCCCGGCAGACCAAACAAACGACGCAAGCTGGGTTGCGGACAGCCGGCTGCGTTAGTTTCGGGGAACAAAACTAACACGTATATCGCGGGACCCCTGAGAAAGGAGATTTTGCCGCCGCGCACGCTTTCGCGAATCAGAGTCTTCTTCAATCCGCTCAACCGAGTCGTGTTTACCAAGCTAAAACGGAATCGATGGTTCAGCGGGTGGAGCTGCCGCCTTACACGCCCGCCGCCCATGGCCACGCGGCCCCAACCCTCGCGCCCGAGAAAGAGGGAAAGAAAGGAAAGCCCCGAAACGCGCGTGGCCACCCTCATTCCGCCTCTACTGAGCCTGCGGGGTGGTTCGAGAGCGCGACCGCGCGCGCTCCTCCCCCCACCCCTCCCCTCTGGAGCAGACTGACTGGAAGTGGCGTACGTGCAAAGCAGAGCCGGAGAGTGGCGGCGCAAGCCCCGCCCCCTAGGCCCGGGCAACGGTGAGGGGAGGAGGAGGAGGAGACAGGCGAGCTGGAGCGGGGCTCGCGCCGGCAGCGGACAAATCTTCAGGCTTCTCCCGCCGCCTAAGGAGGCGGAGAAGAAAAGCAGCCGCGGCGGGAGAGGACACCTCTTGCCCCGCTGCCGAGGCTGCTATGAGGCGGCGGTAGGAGGGAGCCTCTGAGGCGGCAGGCAGGAAGGCGGCGGGGTTTGGTGGCGGTCCTCCGCCCATCAGGAGGAGAGAGGGAGGCGGTCGAGGCAGCGGAGCCGCGGCGCAGTCCTGACGGGCAGGGGGCGGCCATGATGAAGTGAGCCACTCGCCGCCTTCCTGAGGCCGCGGAAAAACAGGGGCGACCAAGGAGGGGGACGCGAGAACATGGCCAATGACAGC